GCCCTCCTCAATACCCACCACCAGGCTAACCCATCCTCCCACCCCCCTCCCCTCTAGAACCCTCAGTTTGTTTTTCAGAGTCCACTGTCTCTCATGGTAGGATGTGGGCAATTCTTATTTTATTTAAAACTCCTACTACAAGCTTTAATCTCTTCAAGACTAACCATTAGTTAGGCTTTTACCTATTGCTGATAGAACAGATGCTTTTGCTTGGTCTACACCACAAAATATTGAAGATTCAATTAATACTTTCCTCGATCTGTTAGGATCCTTTCTCCACCGCTTTTCACGTGGAGATGTTGCCGTTCAGAGTTCTCCTGCGTCTCCTACGGAGCACCCTGCTTCACGGGGCTTATGGCTTGTGACTTTACAATCACAGAAATTTCACATTCACCATATGCATTTTAATCTGACTCACAGAACTTTTCTGGCCAGTGGTACAGTTTCCTCCTCTTCACAACCCACAAGATTCAACTGAATGCCTGCTGTAGGCCAGACGCTATCCTAGGGGCCAGACACTGTCCTAGGGGTCAGACAGACACTGTCCTAGGGGCTGGCCTACAGCAGGGAACAAAAGTCCCACCTCACGAGTTCTTACGAACGGAGGTTTAAAATACCCCAACTGCTCCTTTGGAAAAGGGCATGGTCAGGCTTAGGACAAAGTACAAACAAGGTCATCTATAAGAGGAGCCAGCAGACTGTAAGGGAAAGGGGAAAAGAACTGTTGAGTTTTAGGATGAGAGTGAGGGGCCAGCCTCTCTGACTTGGCGCTAAATAATAGTTGCACGTTGCTGTGTATCCCATCTTCCTCCTGGGCCTTTATCTTTCTCCTTTTCTGTGCTGCATTCTCCTTATCTTTCCCATTTCCAAACATTGGAGGCCCTGAGACCCTTTTTCTTCTGTATTTATGCACATGCTGGCTTATTTCATTCAGGCCCACAATTTTTGAAAGTACCTGTATGCTTGTGGTGCCCAAATGTATAGCTCCAGGTCACGTCTGTTCCCTGCATCCCAGATTTGTGTACCACCTGCCTATTCTGCCTCTCTACCTGAGATCAACAGGCCCATTGTACTCAACCTGTCCAAAGCAGAGCATGCTACCTCCCCCCGCCCCACACTGCCCCTCCTCTTCTCTCTCCTTTGGCTCCTTTCTTGCGCTCTTTCCACATCAGAAAATCTTACCACCATTCACCCAGTTGCTCATACCAAGTGCTCACCCAAACAGTCTTGGGGTTATCTTTAACTCCTTCCCGTCTCATCTCACGTTCAGGCCATAAGCATATCTTTAAAATAAATTCTTCACTGCGGATATCCTAATCCAAATTCACTGCCCTCAATCCTCTGATTCTAGACGACTCTAGTAGATTCCTAACCGACTTCACTTTTGCCATTCCAGAGTTTTGCACATGGTGAATTAATCCTTTTAAAATATAAATCAGATCCCATCCTGTTCAAAACCTTAAGAATGTCTCCCTATTGCACTTGAAAAAAAAAAAAAATCAAAGTTCTTGCGCTGGTTGCAAGGGTCTAGAACCTGGCCGCTCCCTTCCTCTCTACTTCATAGGGTCCTTCTTTCCCCTGAATCTTGATCATGCATTAGCCACCTCCACTTCCTTGCCTGGAACACCAGCCCCATTTTCTGCCTCAGACCCTTTGCACATGCTGGTCCCTCTGCCTGGGTGCCTTCTCCCAGATCTGTGCATGATTCATTCCTTCATTCAAATCTCTGCTCAGGTGCCACCTTCTTAGAAAGGGCTTGGTGACCACTCACCCTATTACTCTGTCCAGTTGCTCTAATCCCTATCCCCTGATATATATATTAATTATATAACATATACTCTAAATTATTTAATTATATACAATTAATATAATCTACAAATATAAAATACTTATTTTGGTGTAGCCTGATATTTTGTTTCATATTGATTTTTTTCTTAAAATTTTATTGCCTGTGTCCCCCATTAAAATGCAAGTACCATGAGAACTCTCTTTTACTTATTACTGGGACTTTGAGAATGCCTGGTATTTGACAAGTATTGATTGAGTGAATGAATCATTAAATGAGTAATACCTCTACGGACCACAGTGGAAGCTCTAAGACTGCCGCTAATCAGTAGACAAGGACGTAACAAATTCTGCCTTTCTGCTGATTTTGTCTTCATTATTACCAGAAATTCTGACAATCAAAGCACAAGAAAAATGGAACATTTTATTTAAGAACTCAGAGTCTAGCAATGAATACCTTTTTTTTTTTTTTCTTATTTGTATCGTATCACTAAACTGGCTTATCTAGGTTCCAAGGTAGTTGTTAATTTTCATGTGTATTTAATTCATTTTAGAATCTTTTTTTTTTTTTTCCCACAAAGAGTATAACATACTCAAAAGTTACAAGAACTTACATTCAAATAGGAGTCATTAATCTCTGGGCCCAGGAAATGACTTTATATATTATAAATAGGAAAGTATAAAATGAGGAAATAACACTAACAGACTATATTGTGAGTGGTCAAATTACTTTGTAACTTTGGATTCATCATTTTGTTTATTTGCTCACATGTATCTTTATCACAGAGTAGAATGGACATAGTAATTGTATAATTCATATTTCTGTACTTTCTGATAAAACATGCCAATCAAAATGGGTGAATTTCATCTGACTTTCAAGAGAAGTCATCCCCATTTCAATCATCTCGTAAGAGGATTTAACTTCTTCAGCCACTGATGCTTATTTACAGGACAGTTTGGTAGTTCTTTTTAACAAAGACCAAAAACATTCAGGCACATTAGTTCATCTTAATGCAGTTGGATGGAATAAGAAAGTAGAGACACTTGGGTAATTAAAAGGGAGTTAAATTTATTAGACTTTTAGCCCACCTCCTTTCATAAACATATGAGTTCACTTTAAAAGTTGACACACAATATGACTTAGAAAGAAGATGAGCCAGTATGGGGAGGCGAATATATTTGAAGAATTCAGTTAAAACACCTCAGCCTGGCACAACGCTTTGAATGCTTCTCGAGTATGTCAGCTATTTGATGAGACATGCTTTATTGCTTTTCTCCTTACATTTGCATAACCACTTTTGAGCAGAAAAACCGCATGATTTCAAACTTGATTATCAGAAAATCGTTTTAATCGCGTTATTATAGAATTGTACCATTGACTAATTTTTGGTACAAAAATCTTACTAGAAAAGAACAGTGAGAAATCCTCAGGGCAATTTACACAGCCTTCTTTTTCCTCCTTAGGAAATGATGCCACATCAATTGTCAACTGCCTTCATATTTTGGGTCAGACTTTGGATGCCAGGTAAGTGAATACATTTTTGTCTACATGACTGTAGGAATGCTACACAAGAATATGAAGACTCACCTTGTCTCTTGATTTCATTCTTTGGAATTGTAATAAAGACTTAAGTGTGGGTGAAAAAATATTTTGTAAATGATGGATACAATGGCATTTTATTATTTTTATGATCTTGTATAAATTGTTAATTCACATTTCAAGTAATTTCTGTAGCAGCTAGGAATGTAATGGAGGGTTGAATTGGGAATGTATCATGTGAAGTAGAAATGGTAAGCTCCAACTTGAGAAGTCTTAGTAGCTTCTGGGTGTGGTACCATTGTGCTCTGCATTTGTGATACCATTTAGCTTTATAGGAACAGGGTTTTATTCTTATTTTACAGATGAGTAAAGTGAAGCTAAAGATTGCATAGTAAGTGTGGAAGTAGACCAATTCCCAAGTGTGTGTACTGCCCTCCTGGCAACGTGACTGGAAATCCAATAGGTTGCCTAAATACAAAATCAGTGTATCTCACAGAGTTGATTCAGCCTTTAAGCCATACATGTATTTCATTTATTATCCAGGATAAATCTAAATAAAAGTTCCTAAATGTCTCCTACAGAGAATATGCCATGATGCTTTTTATTTATTTTCACGTTTAAAATTTTATGAGAGGTGCTTTATATAATAAATGAAAAAAAAATAGATGCTATTATACACCTTCATTTCCTAACTAGACTTGGTGGCATTAGAGGGTCACTTCTGAACAAAGTTCAGCCTTTGGAGGCTCATTTAGCTGATTGCTACACTTAAAGCACAAAACATCCATATCATTTGATGACTGGGTTGAGCTGGGATTAAATGTTTCTTTCCCATACAGTGCCTCAGGAAACATTCTGGTTGTGTTGGATTTGGGATTAACTCAACTGGCTCAAAGGCTGTGTTTTGTCAGAGTATAAAACAAACACTCTCAAAATTTGAAAATGCTGGTAGAAAATAGAAAGCATTTGCACCGCCTTTTGATCGGGGTCTGAAGTAAGTTGACTCTGAAGGCATTTAGGAAAGGTGACGCATTTACAGAGTGATACTGCTTATAAGTTCAAGTACACTGAAAAAATTGGGAGTGAATTAAAAAGATTTAGTTGACTGAGTGGCTGTAATGGATAAATGGAGAGTAGAAGCATGTTTTATTTGTATTCCCACTTGCTCCTTTCGCAAGGTGTATGTTCTCCCTTCTTTCCTTCCTAGGACCGTAATGAAGACTGGCCTAGAGAGTGTTAAAAGCGCACTCCGAGCTTTCCTGGACAACGCCGCGGAGGATCTGGAGAAGACCATGGAGAATCTCAAGCAGGGCCAGTTCACCCACACCCGAAACCAACCCAGAGGTGTCACTCAGATTATCAATTACACCACAGTGGCTCTGTTGCCGATGCTATCATCATTATTTGAGCATATTGGCCAGCATCAGTTCGGAGAAGATCTAATATGTATGTGAATCTATTACTTAGAGTTTCATTATCTAATAGTACAATGAGAAATTATAAAAGCTCCATCTGGTTGCTCAAACACTGCCTACTTGTTAAACTGCGCTTTTTTTTCCCCCCCACAACATTAGGTTGACATTTGAGTTACAGAAACCATTCTTAAAGAGATAGATCCCTGAGTCACACGGCTTCACAGAAGGGACCAGGAAGGTGGTGGCTGTGGGCACTCACTGCCATCTTGTTGAAGTGCGGGTTCCCCAAGTTTTACTATTTCTGTGTTCTCTCTTTCCATGGAATTTTTCCTGTGCAGTTTGAGCATGGGACATGCAATGTTAAATGTTTTTGAATTATATCTGAGTCAGTGCTGATTGTTTGTACAAGCTGTGTAACCAACAAATATGAGACTGCAGAGACAAAGTCTGTGTCTAAATCATGGGTCTACTAGGGTGGCTCACATATTTTTTGTTTATAGGTTTCAGTCTATTTTCATGGGGGATTTAATCAGCTGGTTTTGCCTGGAATTCCATAATTATTAAAAATATCCACTTGGGGCACCTGGGTGGCTCAGTCGTTAAGCGTCTGCCTTCGGCTCAGGTCATGATCCCAGGGTCCTGGGATCGAGCCCCGCATTGGGGCTCAGCGGAGAGCCTGCTTCTCCCTCTCCCACTCCCCCTGCTTGTGTTCCTTCTCTCGCTGTGTCTCTCTCTGTCAAATAAATAAATAAATAAAATCTTTAAAAAAAAAAATCCACAGGTTGCTCAACCCAATGTGGAAATACAAATAATATCAGACCTGTCCCAGTTTCCTGCTGATATGAACATGAAAGGAGATGTATGTCCCTGTTAAACAGTCAAGTGGGTCTTGACTGCAGACATACCTCTCACACCCTCAACCTTATAGGTCTCCCAGGTGAAGCAGCACTCTGGGTGAAAACCACTGCATTACTCAGTGGGTAACACAACCGCTACTCGCCAAACATTTCCTTGAACGATTGTAGGAACATTGCTTACAGTGTAGTGTAGACATGGAAACAGGTCTGGATGTAATCTTTTTGGAGAATGACTTCTCCATTCCTATCATGGTAGATTCTCTAGGAAATGGTAGAAGAATTAGAATTAGAAATCCAGGGTTCTTAGATTTTTTTTTGCCTCTTAAACGTGTCTTATTGGATCATAGATCATCTATAAGGTTTTATTTTATTTTATTTTCTGGCTTCACTATAGGATTGACTTACTTATGCCTTGAATGTCAGGTCAGAAATTAACTCACTGCCTCCTACAGCATTGTCATTACTGTTCACTTAGGTGTTAAAATAAAAGACCCAGTCTTTATGTACCTTCAGAACAGGAGACGAAAATCTGTCCTCCCAGATAGTCTTGTGCTTAATTGTATTCTGGAAGAAATCCTTTTTTCTTCTATCTAGAGAAAAACTATAAAAAAAAAAAATGCTCCTGAGAATGTTCTAAATAAATTATAGTACATTTCAGCTCCTTAAAGAAAAGAATTATATTTGAGAAATAGTTTTTATATTTCATTTTACCTACTTGTTCTAATTTTTCTTCTTTTTAAATGTAAAAATATTAGTATGCCCTCAGTATGGAATTTTGGTTTCAGCCTAAACTTTCTTAGGACAACATATAAATAAAAAGTGTTTTTGTTCTTGTTTTTTTGTTTTTCCTTAGTGGAAGATGTACAGGTGTCGTGTTATAGAATTCTGACTAGCTTATATGCTTTGGGAACCAGCAAAAGTATTTATGTGGAAAGGTAAGATTTTAAAAGTTTAACTGTATTAACAGCTGTTTCAAGTGTTATAACTATTTATTTCAAGTCTTTGCTTTATCAGTTTTTCCTTAGTTATAAACTAAACAACCAGATTAACATATTGAATTCCTTGGGAGTAATTGAACAATCTTTAAGTTAAATTTGAATTGATATAATAAGAGTCAATTAAATTATGTAGAAAAAAAGGTAAAGCAGTAATGGTAACGATCATATTTAATGTAAAGATTAAAGAGAGTGTTTACGAGTTTTATGAAGGAATTTGCTGGAACAGTTTCTCATTATATATCTGAAAAGGAAAATAAACATAAATATTGGCAGTTATTAGGATGAGCTTTATTTTTGCATGTTCTTACATTCAAGAGGAGGAGATTATCAGGTGATATGGACAGGTCAAGATAAAGACTCCCTACTGCATTTAAAATAAGGGGTCACTGGAAATGACAGTATAAGATTTCTGTGAAAAAGACTGATATGAGGAATTCTTAATCGCAGGAAACAAACTGAGTGTTGTTGGAGTGGGGGGTGGGGTGGGAGGGCTGGGGTGACTGG